AGGATGGTCTGGGACCTCGGGCTTCCTTTCCTCCCCTGAGTCTCCCTTTCCCTACCTGTAAAATGGGTGCTAGGCTAGATGACCTGTAGGGTGCCTGCTGCCTTACATTGTGGAAGCTCTGAGCCCCAGGTTTTTTGGAACCAACAACAGGAGACTGGGCGAGAGGGGCAAATGCCATCCATCCACTCCCTCACCCTGCCTCTTTGTAGCTGTAACAAGGAATAATGAGCTGGTTACGAACACATGGGTGCCTTTTTATTGGGCTCTCAGCTTCCCAAAGTTCAGGTCTTCGGTTCTCCCAGCCACTCACACCCCTGTAAAGGTTGCCAAGGAACTCCTTGGCCCTCTTTCTTCTTGAAAACCCGGTCACTCTTACTTTCCTTTTGGATAAGATCATCCTTCAACGGAGACCATTTTGTACCTAGCTATCTCCGCCCCATGCCCACGTGGTCCCTCAGGAGATGTTTCTCTGCCGCAGGGTCTAACTTTTCCTTCTAATTTCCCAACTTTGAGCTGCCAGTAATGGAGATATTAGTTTCCTTGACCAGTGCCCTAACCACCCCTCTACCACCCTCCCCACCTGCCTATGGCTTTCACTGCCACCCGCCACCACACACACATTTCCAATCAGGCAGCGGGACCACAGAGGTGCCATGCTGGTGGGGAGGGAAATGTTTCTAGGCTAGGAGACACTGATTTTTCACTTCACTCAAGGCCACATGACAGATCTCCCCCACCTAGCTGCAGCCCCTGTGTCAGCCTGATCCACAGTATGGAGACTATCTTTCTGTACATCTCCAGGTCCACACCTGGTCCTCATACCCAGGTAAGTAGCCTGGTGAGTACCTAAGTGGGGGTAGGAGGGAGACATCAGGAGTATGTGGGCCTGACCCTCGTTCAAAACTCCTAGGGAAGATTGGGGATCAACTAAACTAAGTTTACTTGTCATGGTCATGGCCCTGTAGGCACAGAGCAGCTTCCGCAGAGAGCCTGGGCCTCTTCAGGGTAGTGACTCAGCTAGGTCATGGCCCCCAAGGGGATGCGGAAGGTAGGGAGTTGGGGTGTTGAGGGTGAGGAATGTAAGGAGGTGGTGGGGGTGGACAGAAGTATGTTTTCCAAACTGTAGACATGAAGGAGAGGAGCCTCCACTTAGGGATGAATAGAGGAGCTTGTGGGGGCCAGATCAAGAATAGGCTGACTTGGGCCAGCTGAGTGGCACATTGGTTAAGAACTGGTTTGGGATGCCAGAGGGCCCTGGTTCGGATCCCACATACGAGAGCCAGTGACACTGCCCTCTGCAGCTAAGATGGTGAACGGCAGCTCAACCTAGGACTGGACCGTGGGTCGCCGGCAACAGCATAGGCTGCAGTCCCCTGCTGCAGTGGGCTGCCATAAGCTACCTTGTGTAGCCGGCAGCCAGCGTGAGCGGCCGTCCAGAAGCCAGCGACTGATCTGCATCGCCCAGGAAGAGCGCAATGATGGTGCCAGCTTGGGCCAGTGAGGCAACATCCTCCACAACTAGACTAAAGAACAAAAGGACAGCAACTTGTCTGTTCCCTTTCCCCCGATTCCCCAGTGTTGTTCTCCTCCCCCCAATTCCCCAATAAAAATCTTTAAAAAAAAACCAAAAAACTGCGATGTCCACACCTTAGGGAATGACTACCCAAATCACACAGAAGTCAGGAGAAGGCTCACTGAATAAGGATTTGTCACCTTAGAGATGTAGGGAAGGGTCCAAGGAGATGACTTCTGTCCTGTCTTAGAGACATGAGTCTTTGAGGACAAAAATGAAACATCTCTAAAGTCAGGAGACTTGGCTGGTGGCTCATTTTTTTCAGATCCCTCTGAAGGTCCTATTTTATGCCCCTTTGGGCTGTGTCTATACAGCTCTGTTGGGGGATTGGGACTATGTCCCCAATCCCTAAAATGACCCGCAAGGGGAACTGAGGTGTGGCAAAGAATATTCTGTTTGTAATAGAGGGAAGAGAGATGAGGCACTTGACCCAGGAACTCCCTGTTAGCAGGCAAGAGAGAACAGAAAATTGCCCAGTGCCTCTGGGACAGAGGAAGGGGCTAATCTGCTCAAAAGCTGGAGGTTGGATAAAATGACCCCTGCTTGAGATGGGTGTCGAAGGAAGGTCTCTCAAGAAATGTCACCGCACTCCCCTGGAGGGCCCTGTGGGTGGCTGGCAATCCACCCACCTCCCCCCACTCCTGCCCTCCCCCAAATNAGCGGCCAGCAGCCGCAGTGAGCGGCCGTCCAGAAGCCGGCGACTGATCTTCCTCGCCAGGGAAGAGCGCAATGAGGGTGCCAACTTGGGCCAGTGAAGCAGCGTCCTCCACAACTAGATTGAAGAACAAAAAAAAACCGACAGCAACTTGTCTGTTCCCCTTCCCCCAATTCCCCAGTGCTGTTCCCATCCCCCAATTCCCCAATTTAAAAAAAAAAAGAATGCTTTGGCTTATGGCTCTGGATTTTGAAGGGTAGGTAACTTCCTCCTAGAACCAAGCAGAAAGACTTGGTATGAGCGAAGAGATCCAAATAAGCCACTGGTCAGCCACTGTGCCCCTAGCTTTCTCCCCTGGGTCTGCTTCTTCAGACCCTACAGCTGGGAGCTCTGACTGCCACAATACCTGGTGATCCTTCGTTGCCCCACCAAGGTGAGAGTAGAGTCTTGTTTCCCCTTTTTCATTTGAGATCAGACTGGAATGCCACCATAGGAACCTACAGAGAGAAACCAAGCAAAACTAAAAGCAAGCAACCAAGCAAACACTTAGAAATACAGAAATGGACAGAAAGCAGAAGTCTGATTCTAATTAGTCACCCCTGCCTAAGGGAGCACCTTTCCTCCCCACCCTTGCCCAAGGAAGAGACTAGGCAGGAATTGTAGTCTCACTCCAGGCAGGTGGGCAGCTGAAAAGATACACTTCTTACCAGGGAAATTAAAGCAAGCCCTCATCCTCCACAGAAGTGAAAGGTCAAGGCTACCAATGGTCTTGAGCAATAGAAAAAGTCAGGGGCCCAGAGAATAACTCACAGACAAAACATGGTCTCCGGGACACCCAGGGCAGCATTGGCCCCACTCACAGATGGATCTGCCACGCCTGACCCTTACTGGCTAGTATTCTTAGAGCCTTTGCCATATGTCAGCATTGTGCCAAGCTTAGCTAGATTAGCTTGCGTAACCCTCACAACAACCTTACAAAGTAGGAACTATTATTATTCCTGCTACAGATGAGGAAACAGTCTCAGCCAGGCTAAGTGACTTTTCCAAGATGGCAAACCAGGTAAGTGGGTAAGCTAGGGTTCAAACTCAGACAGTCTGACTTCAAAACCCTAGGCCCTTTACCTCCATGGTGAACTGCGTACACACATAGCAGGTGAACATTCCATATTTGCTAATAGTAACAATAATAATAGCTAACATTTATAGAACATTTAACAATGTGCCACTTTTAAGCAATTTATACACATTATTTTATTCACTAGATAGGAATTATTATTCCCATTTTACAGATGAGAACACTGAGGCTTATAGAAGTTAAGAGAATTGTCCACGATCCCAAAGCTAGTAGGTGAAAGAACTAGGATGCAAACACTGGGAAAGGATAAATGAATGACCAGAGAGAGGCACAGACAATCCCTCCACCAGCACCACTACCATTCTGGAGAATGTCCATGAAGGCAAGGCCTTTCCAGGAGCTCTGAAAAGGTAACTGACACCTTAATTGAGGCTGTCTGTGGGCTTTTATCCCATGTCCTGGTAAAGGCAGCTCCAGCCTGGATAGCTCTGCCAAGTTCAGGACCCAGGGTACTCAGAGATGACCCTAGAAAACTGAGCTAGTTCCTCTTTTCCCCCCAGGCCTCTCCAGAGCGCCCTCTCACCAGCTGTATCTATTCACAATAGTCTAGCACTTGGAATCTGGTTGGGTTTGGGGGCCCCAGGGCTCCCAGGACCCTCCTCCAAGCAGGTAGTTTTCGGCTCTCTCTGCTGGTTCCTTTGGTTCCTGATATTCTAGCTTTGGCATTCCTAATGGGAATCCTTGCAGAGAGCCATCCTGGCCCCTGAGGAAAGAGGGAGAAAGGAAGGAAGGGGCCAATTCCTAGCCCCCCCTACCCATCTCCTCACCCTCCCCAAAGCCTTGAAGGCTGCCCCCACCACATCCAACCCTGCAGTTTCTCACCTCCAGGCATAGGCAGATGATGGCAGAGCTGCGGAGCAGAACTTAACTGAGCCCTCAAGGCACTGCAGATCCCTGTCATTAGTATTTAGGGAATGTGAGTCCCCGAGGATGAGGGAGAGACTGGAAGAAGGAGGCCGAGATGCTCAGAGATATAGAGATAGAGATGGACACAGACACCAGGAGGGGTTGCAGAGAAAGACAGAAGAGGAGGGAGTAAGGAAGGAAAAGAAAGGAGACCGAGGGGGATGGGAGAGAGGCAGAGAAAGGGGGGAGGGGGGAGAGAGACAGAAAGAGCCAGTTGCTTTATTCATGGCTGGTGATATTATAGACTGAGTGAAAATCACATTATCGTAATGGGAAAGTTAGAGTTGCTGAGATGATGCCCTGAAGCCTCAGCGCTGATTGGGGTGTGATTGCTATCTGTATTTATATGTAGAAAGCAAAGTTCACTGCCAGTTCAAGATGGTGGCGGCTGCTTTATGCAACATAATTCTTCAATAGGGAGACGCCCCAAGCAAGCTGAACAAGCCATGCAGGAGTGGGGACGGAGCCTGAGCTCAAGCTGACAGCTGAGCTGGAGCTGAAGCCTGAGCAGCGCTGGAGCGGGCGATGGAGTCTGGGGTGGAGCTGCGCAGAGCTCTAAGAAGGGGGACCATGACCTTGAACCAGAGTGGGACGTAGGGCAGGACCAGGACCTGGGCTCAGCTGAGGCCTGACAGAGGAGGGGGGAAGCCTGGGGACTAGGATGTGAGAAGGAGCTTGTTCCACCATCTCCCCCTCCAAGGCCAGCCCAGGGTTAAGCCCGCCCTGAAGGGAGGGTTGGGCTAGACCTCCAGAGGTCAGAAACCTTGAACTCATTTAAGCAGTTGATCCAACCCATGCCCATTGTGTAATTCAGTGCTAAGCTGTACAGTAAATGTCAGGAAGATTTAATTTTTCCAATGATGATGCTTTTTTGATGTCTCCAATTTCTTGATTTTTGTTCTTTAATTTCTTTTTCAGGGACTCCTGTGTGCCGGTACCTCCACCTGTGGTCTGCCCCTGCCTGCTGTCTGTTGAGCAGCCCAGTGCTGGGATGAAAAAGGGCCCATCCCTACTGATTGGTAAATGGGTATGATATCTGACCCCCAGTGCAGAGCTAGGGGCTGGCCAGGTCAGCCCAAACTCCAAGAACCGCTCCACTCTTGGAGGCCTCAGCCATATTCAGGAAGAGAGAAAAGGGCTGTCAGTGTAGCCTGAGCAGTCTGTTGAGCTCAGATCGCCTTTTACCTGAGGCCTATTTCCTTCTGGGCTTTCTAGGGGAATGGGGCAGGGCAGGGCTTTGGTCCCCACCACAGTTGTCAGGTAAAATGTAGGCTGCCCAGTTAAATTTGAGTTTCAGATCAACATCTAACTATTCTGGCATAACTATATCCCATGTAATATTTGGGATATACTTATACTAAAACAAACAAAAAATCTACTTGTTGGACTACAAGGTCCACTGAGAGTTCTGGAAAGCTGATTGCAAGGGTGAAGCAGAGACTAAGAGCAAGCCCTATCCCGAGCCCCAAATCAAGCCCCACACTTTCCCAGCTACCTCTTCTAAGCTTCCCGGAGAAAGTAGAGTCTTCCTTCTTTCAGGCCTGCAAGTTTCCCTCTCTCTCAGGAAGATGGAGTGTAGTGATATGATGCTAGACAGGAAGGGAGCCCTGTCTATCTGCAAGGCCACAGAATGGGCTGTTTGAGCAACCCGTCTACCTAACAGCCATACCATCAGGTCAAACCCCTGTCCATCCTCTGGCAGAGGCCCATGTCCAGGATACAGCAGTCAGAAATTAATGAGTCCCTCAGGATCTCTGTGTTTGCTCTCTCTCTATCTCTCATTTCTCTGCCTCAGTTCAGAACGGACTTAGTAAAGAGAAGAGACAGTGTGCAATGAGTTCTGAGTTCCACTGATGCAGCCAGGGTTCCAGTCTCACCTGTATGATCTTGAGCCTGTCTCTCATAGAAAGATGGAACTTCTTTCTTCCTCTCAGTACATGTATTCCTAACCGACTGAAAAAAAAAAAAGTGGCTTCAGGTACCCCTTAGTCCCAGAGAATCTGGTAGTTGGACCGAGACTTCGTCTCTGAAGGAGGCTATTATCCAGGAGCCAATTCTTGGACAAACAGGAGCATATCTCCTTCTCTTTAGAAGTCACAGACTCAAGACTTCAGTGCCAGACAGATAAACACGAAGCAACCAGTGAGATGCACTAGGGAAGGGTGGGGTCTGTGACTGTACCTCAAAAGCACACGCCTCTCTAAAGGCATTCAATTTCATGTTGTTGTTGTTTTTGTTTTAAACACTGCTCAGCAAACCAAAGTCCCAGGTGGGCCTGGTTTTGGTGTGCTGGGTAACTCCCTGGTTTATTGATCTTGCTGGTGACACACCTCTCCCTAGCCATAGGGTCACAAAGTACTGAACAGAGTGGAAGTACAACATGTGCAGAGACACACTGACCCATAAAGATACATGAAGCCATCTGTGTATTCACCAATATCAGACCCCTAAGAAGCAAGAGCGTCTGTAAGGAAGCATAAGGACCCTTACAGGGGAGCTGCCCACCCACAGCTTGCCTCCCTCGCTACCTCTTGCCCACCTCTCACCTCTCTGCCTCCTCCTTGTCCACCCAGTGAGACCCAAGTCTACTGCTCACACTCACCCCTTCTTCCCTCTCCCTGGTAGTGACATTCTGTAAAGCACAAAGGGTGTCAATGGAAATGGGGTGGGGGGAGGGCTCTGCACAGCTGACCCATGTGGTAGAGCCATCACACATGCATCTGGGGCCCCTGAAACGCCCCTCCTGCTTTTAATCCTCACAACAAGCTTGTATTGGGGCAGGGGACTGACAAGGAGTGTCCACACACTCCTTGGCCTTGATATAAGGAAGTTATATCCAATCCCAGTGATTTAACTCCATGTTTGTTATAAACTCCATCAGGATGTGTGATGACCCTCTCCCAAGGATCACCCAGGTATCCCTTCTTGGGTCTCTCCCCTGGGGACTAGGCCATAAAGCAGAGTTAGTTCCCAGGCACTCAGGCCACTGACTTTAGAAGGATCCTGAGCAGGGGTGCAGAGTCTAGGGCTTTTCCATGATCCTTCTGGTCCATTCTATCTTGGCCATCAGTGCTAGAATCTAGGTAGCCTCTTCCTGGGCTCAATCATTTCAGCAAAAGAGAAGTAGATCAATCAGTTGCAATAAGTAAAATAAATTATATTAAAATTCCAGTACTCCTTCAGATATTCCTGAGAACCGGTTTTTGGATGATTTACTGTTTGGAATTGTCTGGGCTGCTGTCCCCTTCCTTTTTATGATTGTAAGTAACATTGATTATTACCAGCATCTTATCAAAACTGCGATGTCCAGGGCTGGCCGAGTGGCGCGATGGTTAAGAACTCGCTTGGGATGCCAGAGGGCCCCGGTTCGGATCCCACATATGAGGGCCAGTGACA